CCAATTTGTCAACCGAACGGACACCGAGTATTGTGTAAGTGAAAGCGTCCCGCTTTTCTGCCCTGCTGGGAGTTGGGTGCCCGCTTTGGCACCCACCAAGGCTGCATATGTAAGCGATCTGGCGGACCTGGTCTGTCGTTAACATCGCGGGGCAGTAGCACGTTTCCATGCGGGCAGCCAATGGCGCAATGCGGTTTTTGCGCCCATCGAGCGCTCTAAAAAATGACGTTGGCCGCTTCGCCGCCAGAAAAAGCCGAACCCCCCGTCGCCCAAGACACGAATCGCAACGACAAAAATAGGAGGCCACGGTGCTCGCACTCTCTTTCTCAGCTTCCGCTTTCGACCAAAATCTGACAACGTCTGCAGTCAATCAGCGGCCCTGCATTTATCGCGCATGAACTGAGCATTTTCAAATCAGCCAAAGCAGGCATCGAAACCACGATTGTCACCTCGAACTTGTATAGAACCGCATCCTCCTGACCAACGACGACTACTACGACACAATCAGCCCAACCCCTCACGTCACGAACAACCACTATGAAGGCCTACGTATTTGACAACCAGCCGGTACGTTGCGACAGAGTAGCCGAGCGATGAGGAAGCCGAAGAAAGCATCAGAGACACGTAGGCATACTGACTCTCTCGGCTTGCAGGGCGACCAGCGCCTGCCGCACGACTCTGGCAAGGCGGTCGGCGTCGAAGCTCTGGAGCGCCTCGGCGTCGTCTACCACCACATCCCCGACATTGCCGACGTCGACAAGCTGGCCGTCGAGCGCGGCTACCGCAACCGCGACGAGATCAAGGTGTCGCCGGCCACGATGGGCGACATTTACGAAACCAAGGTCAAGAGCTTCTTTGACGAGCACCTGCACGAGGACGAGGAGATCCGGTACGTGCGCGGGGGCGCCGGCTACTTTGATGTGCGCGACACCACGGACGAGTGGGTGCGCATCCGCCTCGAGAAGGACGACCTGATCATCCTGCCGGCCGGCATCTACCACCGCTTCACCACGGACGAGACGAACGTATGTCGAGAGTGGAGAGTGCCACTTGCACGTATGCCCCCCGTGATGCCCCCGTGATCCATGTTTACTGACCGGCCGCCAGTACACCCACGCGATGCGCCTCTTCAAGGACGAGCCCAAGTGGACGCCGCTCAACCGCAGCGAGGAGCTGAACGACAACCAGTTCCGCCAGGGCTATGTCAGCACGTACCTCAACTAGACAAGACGGACGAGACAGCCCCATGCTGGATGAATAGCGTTTAAGGTTTCGAGTCACATACTTTCTCATACGCAAATATACGTGCCATACCTTTTTCCATTTGGCATATCTATGATACAGAATGTCGCGCTGTGATGGGTGTCCCTGGAAGCGGATGACGCCCTTAGACAACAAATATGTCGTGGCTCACTAAATCGTTTTTCTAATATACTCGAAACATCTTACATTTAACACCAGGACGTGACAAGAGGCAAAACAAGCCCAAACGCCAAAACAAAATGCACACAAGCTTCAAAAACGCCGGCTGGTTGTAAATCGGGAAAGCGTTGGTCCGCCCATGCTGGCGGGCGCGGGACAGGAACAACAGAGCCGTCTGGCTTGCATGTTCTGCTCAATGCGGGCGATGCCGCGAAGCGAAGAGTGTAGAGAGCGTAGCACCGTGGCTCGCAAGTATGGTATGGCTCAATGAGGATGAGGATGAGGTGGCATATACGGCCCGTACGGCTTTTGTGCCCTCTGTGCCCTCTCTCATCTCACTTCCGGCTGGATGCGCTCAGCGCGAGCAGCCGCCAGGTCGGCACCATCAAAGGCGCCGGCCGTGTCGTCGTCCAGGTCGTCGTCGGGCCCCTCCGGCCGCGGCGGCGGGCCCTCAAACAGCCGCCGCCACCAGTGGGGCGGGCCCATTGGCGTCGACCCGCTGTGCAGCGGCGGGTACACGTCGGTAAAAAAGTAGTAGACGTGGCCGATGACCACGCCCATGATCTCCGCTTTGGGGACGCTCCCGTGCAACACCAGACTAAAGGCCATCATTACCCACGGCAGGTACGGCGCGGTGAACACCATCAGGCCCAGAAAGCTGAGCCGGGTGTCGGGGTTGCGCCGCGACCAAATGTAGACGAGCGTCGAGGAGAGCGGCTGGCCGAGGAACGGCATGGCAACGAGCGGCGAAAGGAGGAGCAAGAAGGCCATGGCGTAGACCAGCAGCCACGAGAAGACGGCCGGGGACCGGCCGGCGGACTCTTCGAGGAGGCGCGAGTAGCGCTGGAGAAAGTAGACGTGGAAGATGAGGTCGAGGGAGATGGGGCCGAAGTAGAGGAACGTGGTCAAGAGCCGCCAGTACTAGATTGTTAGCGCGGGCGAGGGACGAAAGAGACCGGGAAAGAAACGGGAAAAAGACGCACCTGGCCCTTAACAAATACTGAGCGATAGCTGTAGTAGAGCTGCAACGGCGTCAAGATCTGGCACTGCACGAGCGCACTGATGGTAAACGTCGCCGTTGTCCACCATCGCGTGCAGATGGGCGTCTCCCAGAACCACTGCTCGAGCGGGACGAGCCCGCCGTCCATCACCTGGTCCATTGCGCAAAGAGAGGGCAAGTTGTGCCGGTCGGTAGCGGCACAGGGTCCGTCGTTGTATCGGTGTGCGGCGCAGAAGGATCTTGGACGGTCAGCAGGAGCCGTCGGTTGCCCCAGTTTGGCGGGTATTGACGTAGCTCGGATGACCGTCGTAGCACCTAAATCAAAAGAGAGACGGAACAACAGATGGGTTGTTGAAGTCAATGCTGGAGGAATCGGCAGCGGATGCAATGTGGGCGAGTGTGTTGATTTATGTACGGCGAGTATCGCTGACGTTGAGGTGGCCTTTTGTTGGCAGTTGAACTGTATTACGAATGTCGTATATGAATGGCCATATTAAGGTCCGCTTCCCCAATTAGTAACCAGTATGCCAGCGAGATCGCATGGCGACCGGAGACGTCCCGCCTCTAGGCCCTGAGCTAGGGGGTGTCTGTGGAGGGGCCTTGCGGGCAGGGTCCTCTGCCAAACGCTGCGTGGCTTTTGGCACTGGCGCTTGTGGCTGAGTGAAATGTGGCTGGTGTCCAATTTCACGGCTTAGTCAACTTTCCATTTCACTTTACGCGCTAGTCGTCGTCCAACGCGTTGCGCCGCGCGCGACGGTCGCTATGGAGAATGCGGAATGCGGCCATCGCCAGCCACCACAATTTCTTTGATTTCAAGTGTTTGTTCCCTCGATCCCCCCCATGTCAAGTATAATCTCGAGGGAACCCCCCTTATCCGTTCTTTCCTTTCTCTCGTCAAAAGAAATTTTAATTTTAATTCTACAGACTTTCAATACCTTCTTGTTCTCGAATACGTCTATTTCTTGAACCACCGCCTTGCATTCTTTCGCATTTCATCTTCGTTTCATTCTCCTCAACGTTTCGGCTTCGCCTTCATATTTTTGCCAGTTGACAGCTGTTCACGATCTCTCCTCGAGCTTCAGATATTTTTGCGCATACATTCCTGAGCTTCGCCAAAAGAAAGCTTCGCCAAATAAAAATAAAAGCCTTTTGCTCTCGCGCGTTTCGCCTGCTATCTCACAATCTCTTGCGCTTCTCCTTGTTCTTTGCGACAAGAACGGTCCGATCTCTCGTTTTCGTCCTTCACACCCCACGCGACACTGCGATATTGTCCGCGCCCATACCTGGCGATCACCCCACCATCTACTTGACAAAATACACTATGGCTCCGAAACAGTCGGCAGCAGCGCGAACTGCTGGCAAGCGCCCCGGCCGTCCGTCAACAGGCGGCGTCAAGAAACCGGCGCGGACGTCCAATGTGCAGCGTAAGTTGCACAACACGAGCACGACCCAAGACCCGGAACCCACCAAGGCGCAAACTAACACATGCATACACAGCCGGTGACCCTGTCCCCCAAAGAAAACAGCGCCGCTACCGTCCCGGCACGCTGGCCCTCCGCGAGATCCGCAAGTACCAGAGCAGCACCGACCTGCTCCTCCTCAAGCTCCCCTTTGCCCGTGTGGTAGGTGGTGTCTCTCCCTCTCGTGCCAGACGCTCAAGCGCAAGCCTGCGCTCGTCTTCCCCCGTTGATCGTGGCCCGTACTAACAAACAGCAATTAGGTCCGCGAAATTGCGCTGAGCGTGCGGCCCGTCGACGAGGGCATGCGGTGGCAGTCGCAAGCCATCCTCGCGCTGCAAGAAGCCGCCGAGGCTTTCTTGGTCCACCTCTTTGAAGACACCAACCTCTGCGCCATCCACGCGCGCCGTGTCACCATCATGCGTCGCGACATTTGGCTGGCGCGGAGAATACGAGGCCTGTGGGGTGCCGGTGGCCAGTACTAGATCCTGTCCTCGTTTTTTTTTCGTTTTCTTTTTCTTTTTATTTTGCTTTCTTCTTTGCAGTCGCCGTGGTGAAAGACATGGGCGAAAGGGAGGACCAAGGAATGGGCCCAACACAAAAATCGGTTCGTCGGGTAATATATGGGAGGGTGCTATATGGCTTTCGTTTCGTTCGTTTTTCGTTTCTTTTCCCCTTTTTTATCATTTGTATGGGTTTGATACCTCTCAGGGCACAGGAGTTTCGGTTTCGGTCTTGGTCTGCTTTACGGCTCTTTTTCTCTCGTCACTTATTGTTTTTCTACTTGTTCTCACCCTATCCCAAGTTCTCGTCGTTGGCAGTCGATTGTTATACATTGGAGGCCGCCACATCAGCGGTCACTTCCAACTTCAAATTCGTGGAAGAACAAGTCTTAAATGTTACAACCTTGGAACCCCGACGGGTGGTGTTGCCCTCCTGCTGGTCTGTATGTGCATGTCTTCGGCTATCAATAATGTTTCCATCCTATCTTTCCTGTATTCGAAATAGACTCAGCAAGGGTCAAAAGCCGAGTTGCCAATGCCAGGCCATGCATAGCATCGACAAGCAACAACTACTCCGTATATGGCCTGATCTACTGGGTGACATCCCGCTCTGCACCCTTAAACTCCGTCGTCCTCCTCTTCATTGTCTTCATTGTCGTCATCACGGTCAGCTGCCCTCTCGCTTGTTTGCCCATGTTCAGATGACTGGCTGGCATATATTTTCTGCAGTCTCTGCGAGGTATCCTGGAGTTCGTCTCGCTCGCGCTTCAGATCATCTCTCTGCTGTTCGAGGCGCTGGATATGCTTCCGAGCAAGCTCCAACACCTCGCCCTTGCTCGCCTGCCGTTCAGCAGCATTCGCCGTCACCGCGGTTGCGCTGCTGTATCTAAAAACAGTCGCCGGAGACCGCAGACTCTCTGGTGGCAGAGCATTCATCAAGTCTTCAAACCGGGCATTCAGCCGGTTCCGGTACTGCTTCTCCATGATATTCTGCGAGCCTCGTGACCTCTTTCTGCTTTGCTTCTCAGCGGGTGGCTCAACGTTGCGACTTGTCGTTGATGACTGGGGAGCAAGAGCCCCGCGTAAGCTCGGATCACCGCTCGAAAGGCTATCCCCCCCAGAGCTACTCGCCATTGACAATGCCGAAGGAGCTGGCACCGCTCCAGCTTTGTTGTTTGGCCGACGGCTTTGCGGCGGCTTTTGTTTTGCCTTGCCTTTCTTGCTTGCAGGCGAGTGTCGCTTGTGGCCCGTTTCGGGGGTAGCAATGGACCCGCTGCCCACAGAAGCGCCTCTTTGTGCGTTGATATCCGCGATTCCCGTATGCGCCGTGGAGTAGCGCCCCCCACTGCTTGTCGAGGTGAAAGAGGTTGGTGTCTTTGCGCCAGGCCTCATGTCCACTGGAGACATCCGCGCGCTACCGTGCCCTGTTCCCGACCGGGACGAAGCCGCGCCATGTTCTGAGTCCTGTCCACTGGGCGTATCATGCGCGTTCCAGTCAGACGAGTACGGCACCGCGTCATCCCAATTTGAGGACGGTGCATATCCGCGCTCAAACAATGTTGGCTCAGCCTCCACAGGAGCTCCGGTATACTGTTCACCATAAGGAATGTATCCAGAACTGCTCCACGAGGCATCAGCCAGGCTTGTCGCAGACACGGGACTTGCAAAAGCCATGTATTGCCCGGATTGGTGCCAGTCATGGCCGGCCTGGGAATGAGCGTCTGTTCCCATGTCCAGTTGCATGTCTGCTGGAAAACTGAACATGCCCTCGTGTATTCCCCCCGAGTCGATCATGGCCACATCATCAGGAGTTGTGATCTGAATGGTGTTGAAATTAGCCATGAACAATATTACACTTCCTTCCAAACGATAGCGAGCACCTTGTAGGATTTTAGAAGATTCTCTCGACATGGCATTCGACTCACCTGGCCCTCTCCACCGATTGGTGCAAAGTATTGCTCGGAAGAATTGCTCTGCTGCTCGTTGTTCATGGTAGTTTCCAGAGCGAGTTGGCGGAAAATGTTGTTTGTGATCAACTTTCGTTCATCTTCTAGACTGTAAGCTTCTTTCCCTCTGTCTACTCTTATGTATCCATGGTGGACCAAGACAGTGTCTCGAGAAAACGCATATTCACCAACACCTGTACCCGCGGAGGGAGCAAGGGCCGTGTCCGAAGATCCTACCCAACGCTGGGCACCGTTCGAGTCGCTGTATAGGGACAGAAAGAAATAAAGCAAGGGTCACAAGGCCTACTTCTAACCAGAAAGCTGTTTGAGAACGCCCATCAAGAAATCATCCGAGACTCTACACCATTATCACAGTTCGCCTCGCTTCTAGACCCACGGCGGAAGAGGCTGTCACTGGTGTTGGCATACAAGTGCTATTTGCGGGTATTGGTCTGAAGGAGCTGTGTCTTCCTTTTTTTTTGTGAAATAAAATTGAAAAAAAAAAAAAAAAAACGAAGATCCAGCTAGTCATATTCTTTAACCAAACTAACCAGCTCGAGGATTGCCGTTACCATTACCAAAGAGAAGCAGAGAGGGGATATACACACAACTAAAGTCAACGGAAAACACGACAGCCATAAGACAAGAGCAAGCCTACGCCACCGACTATCTGTGCCTATAAATTATATGGAAAAATAAAGGACACAGTAGATTTCTTCTTCATCGGGACGCATCAAGCTTCTGCCTCGTCATTTTATTTCCTAATGTGTCATTGTCACAAGCTGCACATCGCGAGACGTTTCGGCGGCTATCGTTGCGTCTCTGACCATCCCAGCTGGAAGGCATTCGGCTAAGAGACCGAATACTACGTTGTCTGTTTTTGTCTGCGGAGAGCAGCTGGGGACTAGCCAGCGAGTGACAGACATATGCCGAAAAAAATGCGACTTTGACAGAAAGCCATCCTTGCCTTGTGCTGTAAAATTCCCACTCTCGTCTGATTTATGATGCGGGCCTTTCCCCTCCACCCCTTCGTCTCTCGTTTTCAAAAAGTGTGCCCTCCACTATGAGAACGATACCCTCCTGTTTGTGTTGACACCTGATCTTGACTCTGCCGTTGCTGCTGAGTCTTCATTTGACTGGCCAAGTGATACAGGTAGACATGTACTGTGGTCCAAGAGACTGCTTTGATGCGGTATTTCGGCCGGCTCAGTGTGTGGTGGTCCTGTCCATTGGTGTTTTCCCACAATGTACCTGCAGAGGACAACAAGGTATCACACAACAGGTCCCCCCAGACAAGTGAGACAAGGCAGGGTTGGTGACAGACAAATAAAAGGAACCTGAGGAGAAAGAAAGATGGTGGGCAGAGTGCTCCATTTTCCTGCATAATCTTGCCTCTGTCTCTCGTTTTCTCGCTTAGCCTCCGTGATGGAGCCTGTCTAGGACAAAAACGCAGACATCAGTGCAGAAAATATGGCACCTTATGTGTTGGTGTGGGTGATCACAGCCTTGACCATATTTGATCCCCCCCTCACGTTAACATGATTAATCGAGCTTCCGCTTGAGACGCTGGGAAATAAGTCTAGCCTTAGGTCACCGAATTTCTTTCATGTTTGTTTTCATCCCCAGCAAATTACGAGAAAATAACGGTATTGTAATGCAAACAACTTGTCTTCATCAATAACACGGCGGAACTGGCTCTATTATTCGGTTGTGTCTTGTATGAAAATAAAGGGGGAGGGGAGACAGACTGGAGAAGCGAGAGCGAGAAGACGAGTTTCGCCTCCTGCAGCCCGTTAAACTACATTGCTAACCTATGACGTCTTGGGTCACTGCCGGATCTCAGTTTATGAAGATCTGGCGGTCTGGTCCCAAAGAGCCGAGCCTAGAGGCCTCCGGTTTAGCTATAGGACGTCCAGATTCGGCATGCCCCTTGTCCTGTGGACGTCTCGTGGGAGACGAACTGCAGTGTGATATCGCCAAAAGTGGTAAAGATGCACACTGCCAGCCCACCATCAATACACACCGGTCTGCAGTTCCTGCCAATTACAACAGTGTCGGATGCACATTCTTTTCGGCAAAAAGACAAAATGAGAACGAAAAGAATGAAAATCCACTCGTGCATTCGCTTACATTCAGCTCAACAGGCCCTCTCTTGGAGACTCGGGTGTTGTATCCGCCCTTTCCAGTACAACCATCGACGAATCACGACAGAGAAGGCGGGTGGTCAAAGGAGGCCTTGCTGAGCTGGATTCGGTTTGACATGGATGGGCTCTCTATTTCTGTTTCTGGCAAAGACTATTTATGTTTTCTTCTTTGGGGTGCAGGCGCCCCATTGCCAACAGAAGGTGGGGGCCGAAAATGGAAATCAGGTTACCAAGCCTTTCTCATTTGGATCACCGCATGCGTTCACCTCCGCCTTTGCTTCGTCTTTTTGAGGGGAACTGATGAGGATCGGTCTGTACGGTACGGGATGGCAGACTACTCGTAAAGAGAACCCTCTTCCCCATTTCGTCATTTGTTCACTCTGTATGGATTACAACATACGGAGTGCAGAATGGCTTTCTGCCACATTGTTTTTTATTGCCCACCACGCGCTGTGTGCGCATTCATGTCACAAACTCGGTTTATATTAGCTCCACGTCGTTTTTATGTTTGTTTATTTCGTTTCTTGTTCTCTCTGATTTTCGCTGCGTGCAGGATATAGACTCTGCAAAACCGTCACCAGACTTCAACTCAGACGGCTATGGAATTTCTTATTCGCTGCTTGCGTAAATCTGCGTCGCAAAGTGGGCGAATAGTATTGAAAGCCACCCTGCTCAACCCCTTGTGCGGTACGGTAGACACAGTCTTTTGCGGTTGCATCTACCGTGTTCCCGGCGCTTGTCGTTTATCGTCCATCGTATCACTGCAGGCAGCCTTTTATTGTTACATTATAATTCTCCGATGAACGCTACTGGCTACACGGGAGCCGGATGTTGAAGCGAAAGCATGGGTGGGTAAAACACATAGGGGAATGGGAGCACCAAGCTCAAAATCTCACGAGTTAACTCGTTGGCTACTTTTACGTTTCCTATGGAGGTGCTGTTTCGGGGGAGCATCTTCCTCTGAAAGTAGAACGAACAAGTCACAACTTTGAGCCATAAAGTGAACGAAAGCAAGAAGAGGTGCGGTGCGTCTACAGAGTACAAAACAATACGGTCAGATATAGGCTCAAGAACGAGGCTGCCAATGTGGCGTGGGATGACCCCAGAAAAGGAAAACAAACGCAGATCTGAAAAGATCGGCGTCCATCCGGATTCCTCCCCAGACTGCCAGCGGAAAATTCAAGCCCTGTCTGGCTGAGCTGCATCCCTTGCCAAATGGCAAACGGCCTGTACAAGTGCCTAGTCGTGTGGATAGAGAAGCTGGAAAAAAAGTGAGAGCCATCTCCGACGCACTCGTAAACCTTGAAATATTACATTCTGTACGCAAAAAGAAGGCGACCGGTGGTACCCCGTGTGTGTGCTTTGCCCTCTTGTGTGTATGTGTGTCTGAAAGACGTCTCGCTTTCAGCTGCCTCGGGCACGACGCAAATTGTGATGGGCTTCTTTTTCTCTTTCGCTGCATCATTTGCCTCGATGACACATCACTTTTTTGTTTCCATGCCCAAACTCCCCTTTCCTTTTTTTTGCAGCTCGTATACTCCAGGCCAGCCACAACATCAAAGACAATTCTCATTGGATGCACGGCACATTTTACGATTGGCAAATCAAAATCCAGCTCCTCACGCACTGCCGTAGTACTTCTCTCCCTTGTTGCATTTCGCCTCCCACCGGCTTCAGGTCCTCTCCCTTTCTCGGCACCACCCGCAAACCGTCTCTACATGTACCCACCACTCTTCATTTCTCAAGACCCACTCTCTGTCCCTAAAACCAATGGACGGCGTAGTATTCCAGGCAAACGTGTCTCTGCAGGTGGGCTTCACACTATCCTGGCGACAATTTCACGATCCGTCTGCCAATTCCTCAGCGCGGGGGTTTGAAAATAGCAGAATTTCCGGCCGTGACCATAGCCTTCTTTTCCATTCTCACAGTTGTCAATACTGGCAACATACAATAGGCAAAAAGTATCACTGCGATGTGGATGCTGAGCCGCCTCACCGGTACAGCTCTTGGGCCAGGTCGCTTTCGTCTACAAGACCCCAACTGTATCGGGTTTAAAAAGGACAAGACTTTTCCAACACACGTGCATTGGCCACGGTGGTAAGTTGACTGGAGGGACAAGTCCGGCGGCTCGACGGGCCCAGTCAGTGGAATGGACAGAGCATATGCTGTGCCCATAGTAGCGGGGGGGGGGGAGTGTAAATACAAAAGGAATGTAGTTTGAACGTGAAGATTCATCGGTTTAACGTCTCCCAGTATTCCAAGGACGCCAGCCTTACACCACATTCGCTCAACAAAGTTTATTTGAACGTCACCGTATTTGGATACCCCTGTAGATGAATGTGTTTACATATAAACAGGCGGCTGTTTTGTGAAAGTTTGGTTTGATATTTGAAATTTACAGCTTGGTTATTGAGGCTGTAATAATAGCGTCCTGTCACTCTAGTTGAAAGGACAACATAAGAAATAGGACGCCCCAATTTTTTTTGCAAGTACAGAAAATGAGAAGATAAGGAAAATTTGATGTTGTTATATAAAAGGACAGTGATGGTAGTTGGAATGAGATTGCGTAGTAGTAACAACAATTGGGGGTCGTGAAACGTTGCGGCCGCCAGAAGAGATACCGTGATGAAGGTATAGGGCGACTCTAAAAAGAAAATCTATAAACGAAAAAGAAGAAACGACAACCAGAAACGACAGAAAGGGAAGCCAAAATATACCCAGATAATGATGCTGACCAATTGCTGTCGCGGGGCAAGCCTACCCCCTGGCGATGCAAATGCCATGAAAAAAGACACCCATGAGATGAGGCAAAACCTGAAAAACGTAACAAAAAGGGAACAACAAAAAGGTATCAAGGAAAGTGCAATGAAAGTAGAAGACGGTGGCTTTTGAGTGCGTTGTAAAGAGTGACTTGTGCCGATGACACCGGCAAAGGGGCTCAGGTACAAAATGAGAAAAGGTAGCGTTCGTGGAGTTGGCATACAGCGGCTTGCGCAACATGCTCCATCGTCTTTGGTCTCATCAAGAGACGTTTTTATTTTTTTAATTCTTATTTTTTTTATTTTTGGATTTGGTGTCGAATGTGCATGTCACTGCTTAGATCTGAGGGACCTCGAGGTCCTTCTTGTACATGAGGTCCTCGATCGAGGCAGTGCTCATGGTCAGGCGGGTAAGATCCGTCGCCGTGGAGTTGGCCGAGATGTGCCGGTCGGACAGGACGGAGTCGCGGGACTCGTGGCTGGCTGTCGTCGATGCACTCGTGCGCGCCGGGATGAAAAGCATCGACTTGTTCATGGTCATCGTGGACTCCACGTATGTCGGCATCTCGTCCTCCTCTTCCGCACCGATGGCGAAGCCGACGGGCGCACCGCGAACCGGCGGGCGGAACTGCTCGTAGTTGTCGTTGCCGGGGATAAACAGGCTCGGCGAGAGATTGAAGCCGTGCGATTCCTTGAAGCTCGACGCACGCGAGCCGCGTGACCCGCTGCGGCCGTGGAAGAACCGCTGCATCGGCCGCAGCGCGTCCTCCTCCGGCGCACCGGTCTGGATCGTCAGGCCAGGCGGCCGGCGCATGGACAGAGCCGTGGGCGTCACAGCCTCGTTCATGGAGACCATCGAGGACTGGCTGGCCGGGCTGAGAGCCGGCATGTCAAAGCAGCCGGGGCTCAGCAGATGCGGCGAGGCGTGTGCCATGGCCGCCGTCTTGGAGGCGTGGATGACCGCATGACCATCCTTGTTGTTCTCGTGGACAGACACACCTGCAAGAGCCTCCTCGCGAGAAAGATCCATGGAGGGGCGGTCCCAAGCGTATTCGCAATCGGCCTCAATCTCGTGCTCGTAGCAGTAATCGATGTCGTCCTCCCAGTTGGCCTTGGCAAACGAGTCGTCATCGTCGTTATGAGGCTGGCTCTCCTCGCGCATCAACCGCTGCGCAGCTATGAGGTCGAAGCGGCCCAAGGTATCGGATGCCGCGCTCGGCGGGCGCTGGACATTGGACGACTGTGGCACAGGGAACTGTTGAAGAAGTGGCAGCGAGTGGCTCTTGCGCAGGGACGACCTGTTGCTTGCTACGCTCATGCGCGACTTGCGCACGCTGTTACGCTGGTTGTACACTTGCTCCTCTTCCTCCGGAACACCAGGCAGGATGTCAAACGTAGACGTGGAGGCGGAGGCGGCTGCCGGGGCAGCCAGGGGCCAGTTCGAGTCGTCGGGTGTGGCCGACGGGGAGGTGGCGGCAGTAGTGGTAGCGGCAACAGCTGAGGGAGGGATAAACACCTCTGGCATCTGTGAGAAGCGGCGTGTGTCCACAAATGAGGGCACGTTCGTGTCCGCCGAGTACGAATGCGAGTGCATCAGAGGTGGGCGCGGCATATCCGCATACGGGTGTACCGAGGGCGTTGGCTGGCGGAAACCGCCGCTTGTGCGTGGACGCTCCATCCGGGGAGGGCTGGTCGCCATCGAGTCCAAATCTCCAGGGCGGAGAGAGGCCCGGCTCGAAAACCGAGGGGGCGGGATTGGAGGAGAGAAGGACGACGCCTCAGCAGGCGATCGTGGTGGCCGCGGTGGCGGAATCCGCAGCTGGTCCTGGGACTTGGTGTAGTTGAGCTGCGGCGGAGGGTAGACCGACGAGACGGACGCTGCATGTGGCCGCATAACCGACCGCCGCGGAACCGTGGCAAGAACGGCATCCTCGTCGATGGGCAGGGTTTCCGACGAGAAGTTGGGAAAGTGCAGGCTCTCGGCCTGGATGCCCAGCAGCTTACCGTCAACGGGGGGCGCGGCAGACTGCGACAAGGCGAATTCGGACTGCAGGGCAACGCGGCTACCTCTTTGCAGGTTGGGGAGTTGCTCTTTATGGGTGTGCGTCAAGTGCTGGAAGTTGTACGGTCCTGAGATTTGAAGACGGCGGCGTCCATCCAGGTCCTCGATAGGCGGGCCCGACTTGTTTGCTGCTCGCCGACGGCTGAAGAAAGACGGCATCGCGTTGCTTGTAGGCAGCGCGTTTGACGAAGCGGCAGGCAATGGTGGCGGGGGCGGCGACGAGATGGCGATCCCCTTCTCGAAAGGCAGCTCGGCTGAATGGAGCGAGCTGTTGGATGAGCTCGGCGCGCTGCTCTCTCGACGCAATATGCCACGCTTGCCGAAGATATTCTTGCCGAAAATCTGCACACTTTCATGACGGTCACGGGGTGCTGTGCTGCTTGTTGACCGGCTAGAGGACTTGCGCGAGAGGCTGGAGCTGTTGTCAAAGGACTTGTCCCACGATGGACGGTCCACGGACGTCAGTGACCGCAGCGACGACGATCCGGAAGAGGTTGTCTGGTGGCTTTCGCGGCTGTGGTGGCTTTGGTGGCTTTGGTAGCTCTGTTGGCTCTGTTGGCTCTGGTGCTTGTCCGTGGTCGAAGCAAGTCGCATCTGGTTGCTGATGGCCCGGAGTGTCTCTGGCGATGGAGGGCCTTCCATGGCGGGCTCCAGCAGCTCCGAGATGCTACCTGAACGGTTGATGGAAGAAGGCATGGCGGTGTCTGGGTGAGTATGTGCCGTTGATGTCAATATATCAAAAGGGAAGCTGGTGCATTTGAGACTGAAGCCGCCGGTTATTATCGCACTTGTTGTCGTCGTGTTGTCGTCGTACAGATAGTGCCGGCGTCGTGCTGTTGAAAGAGAGAAAGGGTTACGAAGATGTTGTGAACGAAGTTGTGAGATCGGCGGCGTGTATATAGAGAATGACTGAAGTAAAAAACTTAATGAGTGGCGAAGTATCAGGTCGACGTGTAAATATGCAATGCTGAGATCGAAGTATGAGAGAGAAAAGGAAGAGAATAAGAGCAAGGGAAGCAAGCTTGGTCGTGAGGGAAGACGGCCGTTTTTGGGTGAAAAATAAAAAGAGTCCACTGGGTGACAAGACTGCTCCGTAAATAAGTGGTACAGAAACGGTTTGCGGAGAGGTGGTGGTAGTCCAGGCAGTCGGTGGCTTGGGGGGTGTCTTGAAAGAGGAAAGGGAGAGAGAGACTGGGGGAGGGGGGTGGTCTTCGAGACGGAGAACGCTAACGGTGGGCCGTGTTTCTCACTCCTGTGCCCTTTTTCTTCCTTACCCTTGCTCTTTCTTTCTCGTTTTTATTTTGTCCTTTCTCTTTTCTATCCTTGACTATCCTTGCCAGTTCCAGGGTTGCTTCTGGGTCGCGTTTCTGTGGATCGTCGTTGTTGTTTGCTGAACGAACCGTGTTGAGCCCTCTGTTGGTCAAGTCAAATTTAGCGGCTGGACTGGACGTGCGCTGCTTCTCCAGCGCCTGTGCGCAGCGAACAAAAGTGGTGATAAAAAGAGATAATACACAACGAAGTCATACCTTCCACTGGGCAAGATATCTCACTCCGTACGACATCGCTCTTCAGCGCCCAATAAAAATGTAGTGAAGCTGCGATGTAGGTATGGCCACGTACAAAAATATGTCGAAACAAGTATACAAGGAGGACATCACAAGGATGGCTCGATTGTGCCAACAGACAACACCACATGCGAAAAATACTCTGCTGCTCTTTCTTTTCAATGACAAACACATGAGGAGGAAAAGGGCAGATGCAATGATGGGCCGAAGGACCGCCGGCGGCGACAACCGCGGCATTGGGTTCGCGATGAGGGGAAGCGAACATGAGCATGAGGCGAGGAGACATGAATTGCAAGGGGATGAAAGCAGATGCGAGGACGCAAAGCCAAAGCAAAGGACATGCTAGCCATGGGGAGAGCAGGGTCTTTTGGCTCTATGTAGCGGCGGCAGTGGTTGAAGAACAAGCGGTTGACGAGAAATCAGAGCTCCATTGAGAAAGGTCCCTGTTTCAAAAACAAAAGCCACGAAGAAGAAGGAAGTGATCGACGACGAAAGGAGAAGCGAAGGGCCCTTTTGCCTGGACTGTATTCTACTCTGCAGAGTTCTTCTGCGCAGTGGAAGCCTCCAGGGGGTTGTTGTGAGACTTGATGGAAACGAGCTTCCGTGAGACAAGGCAGTTCTGAGGCTGTTGCCAACAACGGCCTGCTAACAACACCGCTGGCCTGTGAAGCGAGAGGAGAGACCAGAAAACGACCGACATGATGGAACCAACCTTCCTCTCTTTTTTGCTCCTTTCTCCCCCACCCAAGGTTGCAACATGCTAGACAGCAGATACCCCCTGCTTAGAAGCTTTGGAAAACTGGGGAAAGGCTACGCCTAAGGGAGACTAGCTCGCTGGCTGGTGTCGTGTTAGTTGCAATCCTGTTTTCCACGTTGGGAATGGCCGCCGTTTCTCAGTGTGAAGGAGCTGCGGAAGACCAGCCAGGAACGCCGGCGACGAAAGAAGCCACCGCCAGGGAACTTCTCTGCAACGGAAAGGGAGACAGGGGTTGCTACGAGAGAATCAATGTCTCCGTGCGAGAACCCCGAGTCGGCCCTTTGCAACACTGTTCTAGTCCCTTCTCACCACGGATCGAAAAAGCCCTCGGATTGCGTGGCTTCCAACTTGGCAAAACAAAGAGAATGGGCCCTGCAATTGGAGCGCACCCTCATGGATGTTGCCGCCGCCGTGACCAGGCACCGCCGCCGTTGGGAGGCGGGCAACACGCATGTTGGTTCCTTTTGTCTTTTTTCACAGATTAGCCCGTTCGCATTTGAGACAGCGCCGTCTGCCTGTCTAAAACGTCATATGGTTTGGCGAAGCAGCCACGTTCGACGTCCAAGCGACGACAATGTAAACTGCGAAGCGTCAATTGCGCGCGAAATAGCAAAGTGTTCGCTTACAGGACAGAGCAGACGTACCATTCGATCATGCTGCACGTCGAATGAGGGTAGACGGGGTGGGGCAGGTGTTGTGGTGATGAGCGTCTGACAAAGTGATGGAGAGCAACACTCTGCGAGGCGCGAAATACGTCGCAGAGAGCGCGAGAAGGATGCATGCAAGAGAATGGGAAAATACTACGTCGTACGTCAGATGCGGCCGAATTGGGAAAGTGTGGCTGCATTGCCCTACGAGGAAGGGGCAAGTTTGCGGGCTTTTGCGTTGACGGACAGGGGGAGAAGGAGCGGCCAGTTTGGGTTGGCTTTGATAACATACCACACTTGTGGAAGAAGGAGCGTTCCTGGCGTTCCTGGAGAGCCAAAAAGAGAGCAAGGCAGGAACAAAGAAACCATGTCTGTCAGAAAGATACTTTGCATCCTCTTGTAACCGCCTCTTGCGGCCCCGCCCGTGACGGAATCCTGGGACTGTGTGGCCAGGTACAATCGATTTGTCCTTCCCCAAGTTGTGCGGAGTATCAGTTGTGTCCTATCAATCTCGCTGACAATTGGGTCGTCCTTTGGTCCGTAGCTGCCAATTCGGTCAAGGTTTTCTGCATCTGTTCTTCTCCGTATCATCAAGCGAAACCCAGGAAGGCAGCTGCGTCTCGCTTCCTTCCCTGCTTTGCATGGGTAAGTGACAGATGCTAGGGGGTTTCCCGTCGACGCGCACTTTCTACGCTTTTTCCAATTCGGCCCTGTCGTTCAGTGATGTCTGGGGAGGTGCAAACGACCAGCTCTCTCCGACGTATTTCCCAAATGCAACGCAAGGAAAGTAACGTAGGTGGCACCTTCCCGGCGGGCCACCTTCCCGATATTCTCTTTGGTTCTTTTTTGATGTGACGGACAAGTCTCCTCACACTTTATGTCGTACTTTATCCTCGTTCGCCCGCCCCCAGTCTCACCCAGACATCGCTCAGCTCCCGCATCCCATCATACACCCGCATACGACGTTCCAAATTTATCAATCGTGGCCACCCATGGCCTTGCGTGCATGCCCGCGCGGAAGCGTTTGTGGAAGTGAGATACGTGGTACGGATACGGACTCGCTGCCCCATCTCGACATGTCTCTCGACGAAGTAAGGGATCCCGGGGGAACGGGCCATGGAGCGGCCATGGAGCGGCCATGGAGCGTTTGTTGAGCATTTATGGGTCACGACTGCTTGTCTCTTGCAGAAAGTGCCACTCGTTCTCCTGTGTAGCCCTGCACCGCCCTGCGTTAACGTCTGGCTCCGTATCTGCACTGTGTCCGAAGAGGACCCCATTAAAGGAATCTCTGTTGAGAGTCGGTACCGGGCACAGTGTACAACATACTCCCGAAGAGAAGCTGATGATACACAGTGCCTTGCCGCCGCCCGTGTCCAGTCCCCTCATCACAGTTGTATCCCTAGCAATGTCAGCGGTCGCGTCAGTGCTACCTCCTCTGCCGCGAACATTTTTACGACGGTATCTTCTAGCACTGCGCGAGTGTCTGGGTACAACAATAACAAGGCAAGGGCAAGGGCAAGCAGTGCCATGGAGACACGCAACATGGATGTTGAAGAGGCTGGTCTCACAGGGGAGAAATCCCTTTCAGTTGCAACTACAGGCCCCAGGCGTTGAGCAAGTTATTCCGAATGTCGCATGTTGTACATGGAATTCAAACATAGGAAGTAAAAAAGGAAATAATGCCCCTAAAGAGCCCAACGGCAGAGAGGATGCGTGGTAGTAAAGACATTATGAATTTCGGCCAAAACCTCGCGCTTGAGTGAGAGACGAATCTTCAACACACACGAACCGATAACACAAACTGTCGAACCAAAATAGATCTTCAACAGATCTCTCTTCAACCGTGCTCATCTCAGAAAAAACGGCAACGCCGACCAAACCTCGTGGCAATCGAACAAACTTCATTTTAAATCACCCAAAAAAGATGGAGCCACTTTATCGGGTTCTCCAGCTCCTAATGTCGTGCTGCGTAATTCAAAATCGACGGGGGGAAGATACTGATCAGCACTTGGTGGGCCGAGGTGTCAAGCTGTCTGCCTGACAAAACCAGATAATGCTACATCGTACGTCTGGGCACAGTCAAATGGCCCATCACTTGGAGTCCCATTGTTCCTAGCCTCTTAGTGAGTCCGCTATTGAGCACTGAAAAGCAAACAAAACCTAGGCGAGGAGGGTCGCTGTCGCTGGCTTCCACTAGCAATGTGACGGAGGTTTCTCATGCCACTTGGGCGACAAAGTTCGACGCTGTAGGTTCATTCTTTAGAAAAGCACGCCCATCAGGTCATTTTGGATCGTCTTTTTTCTTTTCTTTTTTTTTTTCCTTTTTGGTGTCTTCGTTGATCATTGTTGCCCAAAATATTGGGCAGGAGATGACATTTACGGGTGCCCATCAATATCGTCTTACGACATCCGACATACACGTGAGACAGTATGGACAAAAACAGGAGGTGGGCCTACGATGCGCCCTCCAGATACCTATGTCGTATTGCTTCTAGTTCATTTTCCAGGTGTTTTCTAGCATACTCCAGTGCCATGACATTTGCTGCCCACGATTAACACAAGCGCATTATTGGTAGGCATATTCTGGCGGGTACCATTTTATTAATAGAGAATGTGAGTAGCCGAGTGGGTAAGATGACAGGGAAAACAAATGTCAGCGAAGACCTTGTCCTTTCCTCTGTCATGCTGCGACAGAAACACCTTAAAAGGAATCTGTTTGCACGACAACCCAAAGTTGCTGCCGGGTACAAGCAAATGAATCCATTTTCTTTCTCGGTGTTTTGGGGCTGGATTTGTGGAAGCCGGCAAAGAAGAGATCGGCGCCTAGAATATCCCAATCTGACCACATCAGCGACGATCTTTTTTTGTTCCTTTTCTTCCGTCGGTGCCCTCGCGCGTGGCAGATCGACAAAAAAGGAGAAAAGGAGAGAGGAAAGCACTGATGCTTCCGCCGCTCCAGACGGTCAACTCCGTCGATGACTCTCCTGTTGCCTGTTTGCTCACTGTCCTTTCCGCCTGGCAAATTGCTTCCATCGTTGTCTGCGATACAATCGGCTCCTTGAAGATGGCAAAATCATTTTAACTCCAAGATGGATGAAAAAGAGCGTAGAAGGAAACGGAAACTGATAGAGAGTGGGAGGGTAAGGAAGAGGAAGACAAACCATCGTCGAGTCTGTGCTCTTGGCGACAGGTAAGGTACGATGTAGATATGATTCCCCGAATCCTGCTCGGCACTGGTACGAGTCGGTTCAGCAACTTCCGTGACTGAAGGAAAACAAAGGCATACGACGTACAGAATACTACATGTAGAACCGTCAATGGCCACTGAAGCCCAAAAAGGAAATGCGAACGAACATCTTTACCCGTTTTCTGTTTTTCGACTTCCAGCGACATGGGATGTGGAGTTTAACGTGTTTCAGGTCGATTTTCTCGGTGGCCTGTTCCCTGCTGGCACCTGTGGCTTTTCGAAGGGACCTGTCTTTTTTGTGGGCATCCGCAATGGGCAATGGGCATTGAACAAACCAGAAAACGAAAACCTACTGTGGTACAGAATACACCAACGAGAGAAAGGCAAAAGAAGAAAAACGCGGATCTAGAGAATCCAGAGAAGGCACCCCCCAACATACCCAAAACAGAGTCCACGAGAAATGGAAGATACCCGGTCCTGGTAATCACGGCGGAACCCGACATGGAAAATGAGCAATCTGCGGTGACGAACACAAACCCACAACGAAGACGACGCGACGACGACGACGACGACGACGGCTATGTCACGGTCACTGCGTGTTCCCGAGCCACAGATATGCAATATGTAGTCTTGGTGTTGTGTTGTATACTACAGTTTTGGACCAGACCTGATGGCCAACTGCTCCATCCTTGTACCGATTCAGACGTGTGACACGCATGCCAGATGCCAGCAAAAGACCGTGATAGTTTGTTTCGAAGATGTGCTGCGTCGTGATCTGTATCAGAAGATCGATCCCTCCGTTAGCACACCCACTTTCTTCTCATTTTCTCTTTCTTTCTTTTTCACCTTTTCCCTCGTACCCGCCGTTTTAAATTTGTTGCTTGCTTGCTCCATTTCATCTTTCCATTCTTGCAGATCCCTCATTCTATTCATTGTTCCATGCATGCGAAGCGGAGTGCTGGGCGAAAAGGGTCAGAATATCGTCTTGACCATTTTCGACTCCGGTCGTTGGAGGTAGCCAAAGTGAGAATAGTTGGCAAAAGAAAGGCATGGGGACTGACAGCCTCCCCTAACTCTGTTGGCCCACCCAGCCCAGCACCCTTGACCCCCGTCCACAACATAAGCCACAGCCGCTGCCCCCGTTGTCGTCGGCGTCCTTTGGTCGCACTTGTCGCACGGCACTCGCAACCACCCCTGAATGGGGGTCCGGAGTACGGAGTAAAACGGGGGGCAGTTTGGAGGACATATGTCAACAATGGCCTTGGCGGAGCATGGCTTTGACATATTTGGCGCGTTTGGCCATGAATAAAAAAAAGTGCACATGGCCTGGCCTTCTTTGGAAGGACAAGGAGAGGGCGTACGCAATTTCACAGTGCCACATGCTTTCGGTATCACAGATGTTCTCAAAAAGCTCCGGCACTGTTTTGAAAGTACCATGTCCCACATGCAAGACATGTGACGAAAGCATGGGGGGGAAGCAAGGACAATGAATATCGCTTCGCATTTGATCGTGCAGCTGTCTTGCCGTGTCGACCAGTTTTCTTATCTTTTTCTTCTTTTTTTTTCTGTTACATCACACGGTGATCACTCTGACCAACACAGCACTGCCGTTCTCACCGCTCCTTGTTTTCTTTTTGTTCTACTATCTGCGCTTCATTGGTATTCACTGTTGTCGTCAGCCACCGTTCATGTTGCGTGTTGTTAACAAAGGTCCTTTCCCTTTTTCCAGTTTTGATACCACCACACTGGTCCCCGGTGCAGCTCCAATGCGACCAAACGTTGTCGGATGACTCCCAGTTCCCAGTAGTTGTCAGAATGGGTATTCTGTATGTGTACGATACAACTTACCGTGTAATATTATGTACACACTCTGGTAGTCCGAATTTCATTGGGCCGTGCGGCATCAAAATGTGCAAAGCCGAGGAGAGACTTTCGTCGGAATAACTTTCCCTCGTCTTTTTTTGGTTGCTGTTGCAATTTCAATGGAGTACACTACTTGGAAGGTAAATTAACAAAAACCTGCACCAGCAACTCGTAATTTGCTTTCCCAGGAAACCGGACAGTGCCGTCATCCAACGTTATTTATAGTATGCCCTCTCCGCATATAAATTGCCACGTCAAAACCATCTGTCCGCAGGTCGCCATGTCCCGTCCGACTTCAATTGCTGTATGTACTCCGTTACGATGTACGCTCCAGCTTTCCAGAAAGAACTCTCCCATGTCTACCGATTTGTATTACTGGGAACGGGAGCTCGGGGATGCGAGAAAAAGCGGAGCCTTGTGGCAACCAAGCCCCCTCTCGTCCCCTGTGGTTTTGTTGTTTTTAAACAACGATCCGCGGGCCTGGCCCTCGATGTCCCTGTTTCTGGTTTCCTCGCAGTTTCCTAATTCGCCATTTACTCCGTCGCGACGCCGTTACCTCCTGTTTCTTTCTGTCTTTTTTGTTCCACTCCCTGTCTTTGCGAATGCCTGCCACGTTCTCCTCTTTTATTTCTCCTACGCCGTAATTTGTGTTGCCGACTGTAACGCAACCCCGTCGTATTGCGGTATTGCGCAAGTTCGTGCGGATATCGAACAACCTTGGTGTTGGGAAACGGATCGACAAGAGAAAAGTGTAAAAGAGAGAATACGAAGCAGCTCAAACAGCGGACGTAGAACGGAGGCGGGCACGGAAGGGAAGCGAGCAATATTTCCAGTCCAGCATCTCCCCTGCATGCGAAGAAAAAATATGACGATCCAGTCAGGCTCCGAATCAAGTGTCCGTCACAAAACAAGGCAAATGAAAATAAAAAAGTAAAAAAAAAAAAAAAAAAAAAAAACAAACATAGGCAAGAGATGTGGAAGGTAAAACTCTTTTTTTTGTCTTGCTGGCGTCGACTGCCTCTCGTCCTTGCATGAACGTCAGGAAAGCATCCGAGAGGAGGATAAAGAAGTGGAAGGGCAGGGAGAAACAAGGTATCCCAATAAGGCGGTGATGTCGCTCATTTCGACCATGTTCCGCCGATTTGTTTCACTTTTTGTGCGTCTCTTGGAGTTGTTGAACTCTATCTCTCCGTCAGCCATTACCTCTTTCCTTTGTATGTCTCGGTCGTCTCCGTCCTTACAGAGTATTCCGCTTTTTCTCCTTGCTTCTCCCAACCGGACGGGATCCGTCGCGGTGGGGGCGTCGGAGCGGGCATGTCTTACCACGAGACAAGACACTAACACCCAGTCCACACACAAGGTCCCAACCATGCATTTTAATGTGGATAGAATCGTGGGCCTGTCCACAATCGTGGACTGCATGTCGTGACGCGGGTTCTGGCCTTGGCGTGGCTCATTCTTTTGTCCTTGTTCCGCGGGCAGGCAGCAGGCCTTGGGGAGACAAGTCGCGTTGCCAAAGAAGAAAATGGAGAAAACAAGATACAAAACGAAGCACGGCACACGA